GCCGCCGCCGCCGCGCGCCTCCGCCGCCGCGCGCCCCCTGCTCGCTCGCTCGCTCGCTCGCCGGCTTTAAAGTCTCTGCCAGGATCCATGCTCACATGTTACTTCCTGTATGGAGGCATGGCCAGTTTCCAGCCCCGCGCTGCCGGTTCCTCCCCTGCCCGCGCCGGAGCCACAACTTTCAGGAGCATGGACTGAAGGCGCCCGCGCCCCAGCGCCCCTCTGAGCGCCTTTGTGCTCGCCTCCCCGTCCTCCCGCCGGCTCCGACCTGGGGGGCTCCGCGCCGCCCCCGACTCCGCCCGCCCCTTCCCCGCGCGCAAACATGCCTCCGTCCCTCCCCGGGCCCTGGAAGGAGCTGCCCGCCTGAAGCCCGGAGAAGCCGCGCCGCGCAGCGCTAAGCCCCGCCGCCGCCGCCGCCGCTGCCGCCGCCACCCGCCGGCCGGCTCTCCGGCTGCGCCGCGCCGCGGACTCAAGTTGGGGGTCCTCGGCCGCCCGCGCCCCCTGCCCGCCCCGAGCCCAGGCGCCAGCCGAAAGCCGCGCTTCTCCGCCGAGAGGATCGTCCCCGGCGTGGCTCTGCAGCCTCGGCCACTTTGTGAGCTTCTCCGGGGGCGCTCGGCGGCTCCAGGTTCCGGGGACTCGCCGCCCGGCGCGGGGCCCGCGGAGCGCCCAGGCTCAGCGAGCTTGCGCGGAAGCTGGAACTTACTCCACAAGTTTACCGGCCTCCCTCCTTTCGATGTGCGTTTTCGGACATGCGGAGGTTACTGGAACCGTGTTGGTGGATTTTGTTCCTGAAAATCAGCAGTTCCGTGCTCCATTATGTCGTGTGCTTCCCGGGTGAGTGCCGGCCGCCAGCGGACGCGGCCCCGGCCCGGCCCCGGCCCCGCGCGGGGCTGCGGAGTTGTCGCCGGGGCGCGGAGCTCGGGCACCCGTGCGAGGGGCCCTGGAGAGGTGGAGGGGCCGGGGCTGGGCCGGGGAGGGGAGGAGGATTTGTACCGCGGGCTCTGGCCGTGCTTAGGGAGGCTGGCGGTCGGGGAGGGTGAAGCGGGGACTGGCCGGCCGGAGGATTGGGGAACCCGGGGTCTTCGCCGCTCCAGTGGGGGTGTGGGAGCCGGGGAGGGGGAACTGGCTCTGCTGATCGGCGCGGGCGCCCGGAGGGCGCCTGGGAACGGGCCGTGGGGAGGATGCTCCTGTGGGCTCCGGATCCGAGGCGCTCTCCCCCCGGCGGGGACGTAGGAGCTCAGGGCGGGGATGCTTGCTTGGCAGCTCCGACCCCTGGAGAGGCTGGAAGCCAGAGGGCGGCCGTAGAGGATCGAGGATGTGGGGAGCGCCCGGCGTTCGGTCTCGCGGCTCGGGTCGCCTCTCCTGACCCCAGCTCCAGGCTGGGGCGCAGGCTACGCCTCGGTGCCGGCGCGAGGCAGCTCCCGGGCGCGGGGCTCAGTGGGAGCGCGGGGGGTCCCTGGCTCCCGCTCCTTTGCCGGGCTGGATGGCGGGGTGGCGGCGCGGGGCCGTGTCGGCGCCCCGCTTGCGGGATGCTGTTCGCGCCAGGACGGATTTTCCCGTCTCGCGCGCCCTGCCTACCTTTCTCTGCCCTTTTGCAGGCTGTTCGCGGCTGGCTGACCAGACCCTGTCCCTTCCCTACCGGTCAGGTTAAGACCGGAGCGGTGCTGGCCGTTGACGACAGTGATAAATCAATGCACAGAATCCTGTGCAGCGCGGCGACCCTCGCGCAGCACGGCGCGAGCCAGAGCCCCCGAGGGCAGAGCCCCACTCCCTGGAGGCTGAGAGCCCCCTCTCGGGTAGGAGGCCCCGTCCCCTGCCCTGGCCACAGAAAAGGGCGCGACTCGGTTTTCGTCCTAGGCTCCCCGAGGATGGAAAACACCCCTGTTTTCTGCTTCTCATCCAGCAGCTGCTGGACACCCGCGGGTGGGGGGTTACTGAGCGGGGACGAGGAGCGTGCCCCGGCTTTCCCTGTTTCGCAGCTGTCTGTCGCTGGGCACCTGGGCGCCCGCTTTCGGCGCAGCGGGTCCCCCAGACCGATCAGGCGGCACAGAGCAAGGCGCTGGCGCCCTTGCTGCCCGGGAACCCGCTCCGGGGGCCTGGCCGCGAGCGCCCCGCTGGCAGGCTCGGTGGCCTGGGGGTGGGGGGAAGCGCCGGCTTCGCCTCAGCATCCTCTTTCCCTCCGCGCATCCCCCAGGTCTCGGAGGCCGGGGGAGATGTGCGGCCACGCTCAGCCGAGGCCTGGGGTTGCCAGCAGGTCACGGCCCCACGCGTGGGCCTGTAGGGCACCTCCCCCGGGAAGCAGCGGGCCCTCTCCCGGAGAGCACGGGTCAGGGCCTGTGCCCCCCGCACCTCGCACCCCTGTCTTCGCAGGACGTGGGGCCGAGTGGGAGGAGCAGGTGCGCCCCGGTCGGCTTCGCGAGGCCACCGTCCACGGGCGCCGCGGCCGGGGGCAACGCGCGGAGCAGACGTCTCCACCTCCGTTTCTCCCGCACCCGGGGACGCAGCCGGCGCTCCCACCGCGGTTTTGTTTTCCTCGGTGTCTGAGGATAGTCGAAACCCCGAGTGGGACCGCCAGGGATTCCGCCTTGGTGGGCTTGGGCCATTTTCGTCCTCGTTTTCCTTTGGTGCCCCCGCTGCGAGGTCCAGGAGCCCAGGGGTGCTGGGCAGGGAAGGGGCAGTGGGTGGTGGGTCAGGGAAGCGGGGTCGGCTTGGAGACGTGTGGCCTGAGTGGACGCGTTGCTCGTGCAGGCAGCAAAGTTAAAATGTCACAGCCGGGAGGCCCCGGCCTTCGGTTTCGCGGCGTCGCTGGACCTCAGGGGGCGCCCGGGAGCTGCTGGTGAGCTGCGGCCTCCAGCTCCCAAGGCCCGCGCCCAGCCGCGTGGGAGGGAGGGAGGCCGGGCCGCTCGGAATCGGCGGGCGTCGGAGCTCACGGGGACCCCCTTCCAGTCGGAGAGAGCCGTGGAAGCATTCGTGGATTTGACACGGGGCATAAACATGCTTCTGGTTTTGAATTAGAATCTTCCTTATGATGTCTTAACCCAAATCGCTTGTCACTTGTTTGCTCTCAGAATCGAACCAAGATTTTTTTTCATTTGCTTTTGAGTTTCCAGCGCCCTTTCGGGATAACAGCGTCCCTTACATTCTTACACATCTATTAAAAATTATTATGGAAAAAACCATGAAGATAGAAGAATATCGTGAATCCCATGTTTGTCTCCTGCCCACCACTCTCAACTACTGTCAACTCTCTCCCCTCTTGGCCTGGGAACACAGTATTTTAAAGTAAATTCTGTATATAGTTCACCTGTTTGCTCTGTCTAGTCACTGAGCACTGCCTCTGATGCCATGTAAACTATGTTACTTGAGAGGGTTAACCGTGTTGTATTTTACATTCTCTGTTTAGCACTCATTCTTTTTTTTTTTTTTGGTACCGGGGATCGAACTCGGGACCTTGCACTTGTGAGGCAGGCGTCGGAACCACTGAGCTAAATCCCCGGCCCTTAGCACTCATTCTTTACGGAATGAATTTCTTGTCTCTGGCCCCGGATGTGAAACCTCTCTTTAGTTCTGTTGTTCTGTACATTGCATTACACCCGGGGGGCCACCTCGAAGGCTCCAGAGGGGCTGGCTCCGCTTCCGGTCGCTTCCGGTCTAGACTTCCCCCCCAGTCGCAGCGTCCGAGCCGGATGCTGGGTGATTCCGGACTCCTCAGCCGCGCTTGAGTCCCCGATGGGCACCCCTGGGGCTCTCTGAGAAAGGGCAGACTTGGCAAGTACGTGGAAGCCTGCAGTTGTATTCTGAGAAATAGGCTGAGCGATCCTACAGGGTCACCTCCCTTCTAAGAGTCTTGTTTGAAAGTGATTTTTTTCCATCCATTCTCTAAACTCGGTCCTCTTGACACTGTTATGGAATAAAATCTTTAATTTTCCTTCTAGACAGTGTTTATTAGTAGAGGATTAATGAAGTTGGAATATTAATGCAAAGAGGCATAACAGGATCTTTTGAAACCAGAGGGAGTTGTGGTCCCCAGAGGAAGAAAGGTAGAAGGACAGGTGTGCTGCCACCAAGGCAGGAAGGGTGCCAGCCTACAGTGAAGCTTTAGCATGTCCCTTTTTGCAGGGAATACATGATTATATTGCTGTTTACATGAAGCCATCCATTTAATGCAGCGAGACAAAACACAAAACCTTTTAGATTTGTTTCTATTCTGAAAACCCCCCAAGTTAGCAGAGTATAATAGGTTAGAGTCATACACCAGGTGAAAGGAACTTTCCTGCCATTTTTGTAGCATAATTTAAAATGCCTTTGAATAATCATTACTGGGGAGTCCTTTCTCCCGCCTTATCACACCCTCCCATTTTCCTGGCTACTTCTCATAGAAACTGGGTACTTATGTTAGCTTAAGTAGGTGAGGAGAGCTTAGCATTGCTGGTAGGCTGCTGTTTTAATGCTTCCCTCTTACGTGTTGGTTCTTAATTTGGATTTCCACTCAGGGTTTTACTCACAGCATGTGCGACAAAGCAGTGTCATTTCTAAGCAGGACGAAATGGTTTATAATATTGGTGTGCATTTGGGATAGGGAGATGAAAAATTTCTATTAACACTTTGTTCTGGGTGCGTGTTTCTTGTGGCCACATTTTATAACCCAGAGTTTATGGGAAAACCTGAGGGCATCCAAAGTTCCCTCAGAAGTGTTTGATGTCCTGCAGTAAGCGCTTGGTGCACTGTGGTCACAGGGTGACCGCTCTCAGACGACGGTAGTGTTTTGGGCCCTCTTTGTGAAGGGGATGAAAGGCCCATACATGGAACGCTGTAGTGGAAACCAAGGAAGAGTGCCCTGGTCCCCAGTTCTCCGCCTGCACTGCATGTAGGTCAAGCTTGTCACACTGGTGAGGTGAGGGAGGGACTCAGGGCTAGGAATTTCGCAACAGTCTCTGATTTGTTCAGAACAACGCAGCCTGGGCACATACGAGGCCTGGGGTTGCTTTAGACCTTCAGGAAATATTTGCAGAGGATTAAAAGATCAAATACCTCCATTTCCCCTACTGCGAAATGGGAGTGAACATCTTCCCTGCGGAGATCTAAATCCAGGACTGTGGCAGTGGTCTGTGCACTTAGAAAATCAAATACTCAGCTGTAAGAAAAGATTTAATCTGACTGTGTTTTTGTATTGTGTGTACATGGAGTTGCATCCAGAACAAAAATCACTTGAGGCGTGGGAGTATAGCTCAGTGGTGCAGTCTCCTAGTCAGGGGGGCTTGGGTTCCATTTCTAGCATCAAAAATAAAATACTCCAAAAAACAGATGTATGTTCAGAAATCTGTTTTTTTTGGTACCAGGGATCGAACTTGGGACCTTGTGCTTGTGAGGCAGGTGGTGGAACCACTAAGCTAGATCCCTGGCTCAGAAATCTGTTTTTTGTTCCATCACTGTTATGTTATTGTCCGTATGACTCTGTTTCAAATGTTGAGAGCCACAGAACTGTTAATCTCTTGAAGAGAATAAAATATGTTGAAGTAGGGTAGGTGAACTTCACGTTCACAGAAGTCTGTGATAATGAAAGTGTGGCTTGCTCATTCTGAGGAGGCGAGTTAGCTTTGCGAGCCAGCCGCAGCTGTGCAGGATTGCTCTAAGTAGCTAGAGGATTCCTCCAGCCATCGTCCTGTCCCTTAGGGACATCTACAGTTGGAGGGGCATTTCCCTTGGTTTTCTTTGTAGTCGTTTTGGGTGTTTGACAGAAAGATTATCATCAAAGTGAGATGGCTTGCCAGGCCTCTGCAGGTCCAAGGATTTAATGACTACAACACCTGCATTAAAAAATGTAAAAAAAAAAT